TTCCGTAGTTTTCGGACCATTCAAACAACATGTAAACTATCATTATAGTAAAAATCAGAATGGATGTATCAAATGGTGCGCTGTGACAGAAAAATCAACAAATATCGTTGTGCTTTTCGATGTGACCATTGTAATGTACATACATAAATCCAAAGAAGTCAACGATAATTTGTGCGAAGAAACCCATTCCGATGGAAATTATTGTTCCAGATATGTCTATAGCATAACGGACATGAAAACAAAGCATATATTGGTATAAAAGAATTCACTTACTAGAATTACGAAGTAATTGTGGGAGTGATTGCAAATTTAAATTACGCTTTTACGAACGATCGTCTTATACTGTAGGTAAAAAGGAGTGCGACTTACGTTTTTGTATTCTTGTATGACCCAAGCTTCGAATTCTGTATGAAAGAACGAATTGGCCACACCACGGATTATATTTCCTATTATCAGAACCCATATCACATTGAAACTCTTCCAACGAAATAATCGATTTACAATCAAACGTGTTTTATCAGTCTTACATATGATACACCACTTAGAATGTATAAAATGCCACAGAAGATACAAGATAGACGACGACCACTAGAATCATTCCGTTGATCCAGTTTGTCGCTTTCGGTCTAAATGTAACTTACAATCGATCAGCAAGAGACGCTAGAAAAGTGCCAATGAATAAAGTCGACATATGAGCAATAATATAGAAGAATTCAACTGTCGACCGAGGATATCCATAACTATCATAAATTGGATATCGATAGGAAAGTTGTAAGCTATTAGCAGCTAAATTTATTTTATTCAATAAAAATTGTGTAAATATGTATGAATTACCTCCTGCAAGAAGATAACCAGTTAGATAGATATTTTGTAAATGCTTGAAACCGGCCTCTTCACCTTCGGCTTCCATCAGCGATACGTTTTGTATTTATCCCATCAAATACAACATATTCCCAACAAGGTCGATACTATGAATGCTTTTTTTCTCTTTTGCACTTAGTTTCAAGCGTGTTTGGATGATTCATCAATAGAGAAACTAAAGGAGTATCGATGAAGCGTTTCATATCGATATCAGTACGAACACATTGATTTTTATATTCTTAATATAAGCTTTAGTAACAGACGGAGATTTGACACTGATAAATTTGTTGCAATATAAAATTTCCTCTTTGAATTTAAATACTGATGAGTGTCAACGAGAGCTTAAGTACGAAAATCCCTTCGATCACTTATGTAGTTAAGGGTGTGTTTTTCTATCTCATTAAATTACTATACCGATGTATCTGCTTTGCATCACTCACATTTTTCTTTGAATTGAATATTAGACAGGCCATTAAACAAACACTTCTGCTACCTTCCTTTCACCCAAAAAAACATATTTCTCACGCACTCGTGTTGTGTTACATAAAGCAAACTTAAACATGTGGTCGTTGGAAATGATTGTATGATTTAGTTAATTGATAACAGAGTGTGCAAGCGAAGTCAGCAGTGATGTAAATTACTCTATAGCACCCGTAAACTCTCGACGAATAAGGTCACTGCGATCGAAGTCTGTCTACCTTTTCTGCAGATAGCAGAACTGTCGCGAGTAAAATATAACGATCAAAATATAGAGGAGAACAAGATTAACATGAATGTCTAAGTGATATAATTCAAACTTATTTTATAATAATGCTCAACTAATGTCAAGAAAGAACTATCGCGCACGTTCATTATCGAGGAAGAAAGTTTTATTATTATTATTTTTCTAGACGCTCATGATACTAACCAGATTCGTCAGCTATGAGTGTCTTTTATGATCAAGTTTTGAAAGCGAATATTTTTATTCAACCGCTTCTATTTATCTTAATCATTGTCACAAACATTCTCAAAATTCGCATTTTATCTTCACGTGCTCTTCGCATTTCACAATGCTCGCATTATCTTACTAGCTATGCAGTTTTCTCGATCATCTACACTTGTCTATTGTGTCCAACTCAAGTAATACGTGCTTTGTATATCGGTTGGGAAGATACATCGATAGGATGTCATATTTACTTCTTCGCTTTGTTCACTCCACCGTACTTGAGTCGAGCCATGCTTATTTTAGCTTCGTTCGATCGATACTGCTCCAGTTCGAAAATACAGCGACTCAACTTGACCAGTACAAAACGAGCGACTCATAAAACAATCACTCTGACAACAATACTAATAATAGTATACATGTCACCCATGTCTTTCATTTATTATTACGATACAACAACTGCCACGTGTCGACAGTATAGAAATTTTCTGGTGAATGTATTTGTATTCAGTCAAGCGATAGTCTACTATACTCTTGCACCGATATTAATGATTATCTTTGGAATTCTAACCATTATGAACATTCATCAATATTCGCTTATTCGAATAACTCTGAAGAGTTATTCGACACATGGTCGACGCACGGAAAGACAGTTAGCACGTATGTTGCTTCTACAAATTTGTTCGCATTTGATTCTCACGACTCCATTCGGTGTATTATATTTTATGAATGCATTCAATCCAGCTACGCGTACGCCAAATATCATTGCCATACGTTACATCTGTGTAATGTGGACACAGTGTGATTATTTTCTTTCGTTTTTTCTCTATATTTTGTCGGGGAGTGTTTATCGAGAACAACTCTGTCGATTATTGATGCGTTGTCGAGAATGAGATGACTCTTTCGATATTTATTTGAAGAATATAATAAAAGCTAGCAGCTTATTCAGCATCTCCAACCTGAAAAGTTGTCTCGAGTTAGTTGATGGAAAACTTCCTCAAATTCATCTCAAGGAACTTTCACCGGTAGAACAAAAATCGGAAGAGTTCCTATCAACGGTGCAAATGACATAAATTATGTCAAAAATCAATCTCATCATGTCGAGTATAACTAATGCCAACGAACTTTCGTAAAGAGGAATTCACTTTAAAAATGTTCCATATAAACTTTCGCTCTTTTCTACTCGTTCTCAGATTGTACTTGACATACGCGGATTTTTATAGAAGAAGCCTTGTTGCAACCAAATTAATCACATTTGGTACGAGAAATTCCTCAAATTCATTACCATTCAATAGTATTTTATCCATGATCGCATGAGAATCCTCAATTCGTTGGCAGCCAAATCAACTCACAAAACTGGTAACCAGTAATGTTCATCGTTCTTAATTCTTCGAATATGTATTGTTCTTCGCCATGGCACACCTCGGTATCGTCAATTGGTGCTTGATAAAAAATTGTCGAGATACATTTTTAACTTACTGTATAAAATAACGTGTTTTTATATGAACTGCATATGTTGGCATCATATGACAGGCAGACTTATTTTCTCTTTCAAATAGAAACTTCTTAATGTGTTAGAATTACCTTGATTCATATTGTCCGATCATAAAACTAACGATATTCTGTGGTCATTAGAATGATTTCAGCTGAAGTTGATTTACTTCGTATCTTTCATAATAAGAATAGATTCAGCTCGTCAGGAAGTTCATTCCAACTCGTCTTTCGTTTTCAATCTACGAATCGATGATACTCATCGACACAAGACTGTTTGTGCACTTGTTTTGGTTCATACTTCAAATTGAAAAAGAATTTTGATCTATTATTAAGATCCGCATTTGTCTGAGATTGTCGAGAGGAGTTGAAGGAATAAGAAAGGATCGAATGAGTGGAACTCCACGAAAAAAAGAAAATCTCTATTGCTTTTTGACCAAGAAAACGAAAAGCTGAAACGAAGGGTCATCTATCTAGATTCATATAGATGGCGATCTTGACACCTATAGAACTATTTATTTCGTCATGGCACGGTATTAACTCATAATGGCTCAAGTGCAAAAACAAAGGTTTACACGAATAGTCCGAAAGAGGATAGCGAACAGTAGTTCTCATTTCTGATTTGAATAACTACTAGAAAATATAATCTTGTGCGACACAATGATTTATGACACTACTCCGATGGCCTATACAGTTCGTTTTTGACGGACGAAATTCTCCAGAAATGCTCGACTCTGTTTAATAGCAACTGCGGGATTCGGAGTAAGTTCGAAAAGTCCGTTGCTTGAGAGAGCAACACAAAAAAGTGAATAATGAAAATAAACATTTTATATCCAGAGAAGAACGTTATATCTCGTGATCAACCGAACAGAATGAATATAACCGACTGAATTTTACAATACCAGAGGGTGCAAAATGGATATAAGCTCGAGCTTTTCTCGATTATTTTACATAATTGGTGACAAATGGAAGAACAAGAACAGTAACAGAGCCAAATTTATGATTTTAACATTTTAATCACGCATACTTATCACAAACGGTGAAAGAGTCGAAGTCGCGTATTTGAAGATTTTTTGCCTCCATCATTAAAACGTATTTCTCATTTGAAACATATCCCTCTAATGTATTTTCTTTGTGGAGTTTCATTGATTGGTAACGAGCTTTTTCCTCTTAGACACGCTTCGAAGGACACGTTATTTTTTGTTTTTAGTAATAACTTCATTCTATAGTAGCAACATTCATTTTCGTATCCGCCAAATATGAGCACATATTATGATCAAGTTGTCAAGTCCAATATTTACGTCCAACCCATACTATTTACTTTGCTCTTAGCTACAAATAGTCTAAAAGTTCACATTCTATTTTCACGTGCTGTGCATATATCGCCATGCACTTATTATTTGATTAGCTATGCCATGTTCACTATTCTCTATACTTGCCTAGTGTGTCCAACACAAGCAATACGTGCACTACTTATCGGCTGAGAGAATACACCGACAGGATGCAATATATATTTCTTCGCTTTAAACACATCACCGTATATTGCTCGAGTCATGCTCATTTTAGCCTCATTCGATCGCTACTGTTTCAGTTCCAAATCACAACGACTCAATTCGAGAAGTACCAAACGAACAGCTTATAGAGCTATCATTATTGCGACGATATCCGTGACAGTGTACATGTTACCGATGACGTTCATCTATTATTTTGACACAACTACTGGCATATGTATGTGCTTAGTCAGATGATAACATATTATACACTGGGTCCATTATTACTGATTATCTTTGGGATTCTGACTATCATCAATACTCATCGACATGCCCGTGTTCGAGTGGTACCACATAATTCTGGGTCATCTGGTCGGCGAACCAAAGGACAACTGGCTCGTATGCTTCTTCTGAAAGTTTGTTGTCATCTTATCCTAACCACTCCATTCGGTGTTATATATTTTCTGAACGCACTCGATCCATCAACTCGTACATCAAATATCACCGCTATACGCTACATATGTGTGCTATGGGCAGAATTAGATTGTTTTGTTTCATTTTTCCTTTACATTCTATCTAGAAGTTTGTATCGGGAAGAACTTCGTCGATTATTCAAATTCATTCAACCACAGAATCACATAAAGATTACCATTCGCCATCAACAAGTAGAAAACAAACCTACAGCATGAAGCTGTGAATAGTGACGAGAATGATTTTATGGTTCGATGTTGTTCTCATGAAATAAGCATAAAATACGTTGAAAATATGTCGTGCGATCAACGATCATATATCTTTAGTGCGAGATCCTTGAAGTTGCTCACGTTTTCTCGGACATATGGTTCTTATTAATCTCGTCGGTATGACAGCCGCATAACCTTTTCTTCCCTACAATGTTTTTATTGTACATGTCACAACTCGAATCAAATAGAAAAGCTTTCAGCGCAATCTCTACGGGATTAAAATGTGAAACACGACGCCATTGGCGTTCCAGACAGTGATGCCTTTGTTACCTGTCGGTCACAGTCTGAGGGGGGGGGTCCAAATTTCTACCCTAAGCCTTCAACACTCCCTTTCAGGTCGTGTTTCACAAATGTTGAAAACTCCAATCATCAGGTACTGTATAAATAATAACTTCATCATAAATTTGATCAAACATATACTATCTATGATAGAAATATGAGACAGAAATTCTAACTTTTATAGATGATCAAAAGTCGAAAATTAGCTGTTCGGTTTATGTCCATGTTATGATCCGGTCCCTTGATCAAATCATAATGATATCAGCATGGAATATTCTTTCAAAGGGATTATCTATGCTTCTTCTCTGATCTATACATACATACATACATATAGATAGTTTCTTTTGTTCTGCTCATGATCTGGATAGGTTGTTCTTTTGGTCTTTTCCTAGTGACAGGTCATGATGTCATTAACTTAAGTATTTTCCTATGATCTGATCTGAAGAGAATACCTATGAAGGCCTGCATATATACATATACATCATGTGTCGTTGCTTAAGTATGTGTGGAGATTGAGAAGAAAGCATATATTCAATAAACAGTATCTATCGGATCAGAACATAAGAGTCCACCAAGGAGATATAAAATACATCACGAAGAATGCTATACTAACAGAAATATCTATCAAGATATTACTGTTCTCTTAGAAAATAGCGATAATCCAATATATTATCACTATCTGTGATGGAACTATTCCTTTATCTATGTAGTTTTATCATGACTTGTATTTATCAGAAGAAAGAGAACGAAGAAAATTAACAAAAATGGATAGAACGATAGTATCACAGGCATCGTTATTTTCTTGTATAATGTTCTCTTTCATTCAGCATATCTTCTTGACCTTCACCTTATACTATATAACGTTTCTTCTCTTTCTTGTGTTCTCAATGTAAAGCGGTATGCTACGTTATACGATGACCATTTAGAGTATATAGAGTAGTACAGAGAGTTTCATTGTCTTTATACTGAGAATAGCTATATTCAATTTGTCATTATGATTGCTGCATCAATAACGAAATACATCTTCTTTTCTTGTTTTATTATCGTAAGGCAATATATGAGTGAAGGATGTGCTCAATACACTTTTTCGATGAAAAAGTATGGATTGTGTATAAAAATTATATTTTTTCTAGACTTTCATAACGAATTTTGATTATAAATTATCACGAAAATCTCGTCCTGTATTTAGTCTAAAAATCGATGTTTTTCGAAATTGCTTTGAATTTTCTTCATTATTACAATTTTTAATATAACTGTTTTATTTTGCTAAAATGATTTCTCTTCGATCTTCTTTCATAGGGAAAATCAATAATATATTCTGAAAGTAATTGTCAATCTCTAGAAAATTATTTCCAAAAAAATATAGGAGACCGAAAGAAAAAGGTCTGTTACTAAAGGATACGGTAAAATCTACGAATTCTTGTCCCGACATTTATTTATTAAGTGATGAGAGATAAACACTAAATTTTTTTCTTATTGAAGAAGCAACTCTAGAATTTCAAATGTTAAAATTCATTGCGTAGAATCCCAGGTTATGAGTGTTCTTCATTCATATATGAGCATCGTTGAATCAGTGACTGAATAAAGGAGTAATTATATTATTTCTTTCATTCAATATATTTTTATAAAAGTACAATTTATACATCAACAAACTATTAGAAAAATTTCTCTGATGAGTTAATTTCAAGATTTTTAATAATTTTGTCATATGATTAATTATGTAAAGGAAAATACTTAACAATAAATATCAGAAGCGTATTTTCCCTGTTGTATATTCTTTCTAAATATCTTCTCGGTCCATTCCCTTTCTGATTCTTTATCTCTCTCCCTCTCTCTGCGTTATTATTCGGAAAATACAAGATAGAGAAATAGAAAGAGAACGAAGCAAGAAGATACTGAGAAAGTATGTCCAATGAAATATATACCGCAGTAGGTGAGAGAAATTACTTGAGATTAAAATTAATATGAATATATAAAAGAAACTCTATATCTATGCTTTGTTTTGTGTAAATAGAAGAAAATAACTAATTTCTTATTTTCAAAGATAAATTCAATCACAAACAGAAGAAAGTGAGATGTTTTTTTCTTGTTTATTCAGAAGGTAAAAATTTTCGGGATTAAAACAATTGGAGTTTATTAGTCTTTCTTGAATAATTTTAAAAAGGAATATTTGGTGAGAGTTTTGTGATAGATAGGATTATTAACACTGTTTAAGTTGGATTGATTTGTATTTCGAATTTTTGTAATTGGTTAAAATTTTGAAAACGATTTTTGAGCATATTTTTATAAGCGTCATTGATATGAACGAGCTCTCTCACAAAGTTCGTCTAAAGTAGGTGTAAATGTATCTTTAATCTTTAATTCTTTATACTTAGCAGCTAATGAAAATAAATATTCGAAATTGGTTCCATTTCGACCCTCTGCTTGAGACATTCTTGATACTTGACCTTCGATTGTTTCAGGAATATCTACACAAAATTCACTTTCTTCATTAACAATACATGTTAATGCATATTCAGGTGTTCCATCAGCAGAACGTGTTACTTTAACAAAATCATATTTATAAATATCCATCACTCTTCCATCCTGGGTTGCGGGTGTTTCTCTTTCAACAAAAGCTTCTACAAAATCAATAATTTTATCATCTTTTGCAATAAGTAAAGCACCATGAACACGACTATCTGGTTCTTCTTTTAAGCCCAGCGTTAATCCTCTTCTTTCGAATGTGCCACGATAAATAAAATCTTCACAAAAGAAACCTTTTTCGTAATCTTGAAGTATACAATCATGTTCCATTTCAGCATCTTTAATTGGATTCCATAATAATGAACCATAAGCAAAGACTGAAATTTGATTATTCCTTTCAATTGATTCAACAATTATATTTCTTGTTGATTCATCTAAACCATTTAATAATTGTAAACTTTGATGCAATTGAACAACATCCACCATTTTGTTCTTTTGTCGATGTGTTGTATTTGATACTGTAATATCTTCTAACTAGCGAATAAATGGAAATGAATTGTATAGAAAATTGACTGCTTTATAAAGACATACAATCTTGATGGAGATTTCCTGCACTAGGACACGTATTGATATTTTACGGAGTTTTCCTAAACATCAGTTTTGCAGAGATAAAACAAACAATAAATGATATTTGTTCGGATGTTTCCATAATAATAGACAATTTTCCAACTTTCGTCATGACGATTATTTCCATTAGGGATTTTTTTAAAAAGCTTTCGGCATAATCCCTTACGGGATTAAAAATGGGAAACACGATGTGATCAGTGTGTTTGTTTGATTGTTTTTATTGGTCGTGATAGATTTCTAGAATATTACGTTTTATTCCTCTCCTATACATAGTTGGTTCGAATAGATTTGGTTTAAACAAATAGGTATTTTGTTATAAGATATGGTTTGTTTCATTATATTATCTGTCCGTGTTGGTACTATACTACTATTAGTGCTAGTGGTCAGATAAATAACATCAATACTAATTGCTAAAGTAATTTACTCAAAAAAAAATTCCGATAAAATCGTTTTTTAGCATGTCCAACGGTTACACACATCCTAACGAGTATTTTTCCTCTTCGCTTTTCACTATTTGTTGTGTGTCGATTAGCGATTTGAACGTGTGCATTATTATTGAAATTTTATAGTAAACATCTTACGAAATAGATTTGTTTCTAAAAACGTCAATTAAAAACAGTGTAAGATTCATGCCAGAAAATTCTACAATGTGCGGTTCGCTGCATTTTCGTCCGCTCTTTTCAATGATGAAAACCGGACCTCTATATATTGTTTCCATCAAAAACTATTCAGAAAAAGCTCATTTACCATTATTCAGATGATTTTCACAATAACCGTTAGACATTCCAGAAAAATCGATTTTATCGGAATTTTTGTTTTTATAATTTTAGTTGAAGTAGATCAAATAGCATAGGAAAATGGAGAATTTTTTTCTCTATCAGGCTATAATAGAGAAAGTTTCTTAACGCTTTCGGTAACAAATTTCCGGACAACTCTCGCTACTTTTGGTATACCCTAAGTATGTGCGCATCTCGAACGTTATGTTGTTGTTTTCTCGGATTTTGGGCGAGAATGTTCCGGCCAAGATTTATCACCGAACATTCATTTTTGATTGAAAAATGGTCCATTATGTGAAGTAGAAGGCGAGAAGGCAAACTTGCTGATGAATGTTTTGAATGCTAACAAATATTAAAGCAGCTGATCACAACGTTTGACGAATTCAGATGCTGGTGTTTGTGAACATTTATTAGATCGAATGGAAAGAGAATCAAGTACGAGTGTGCTTCGAATGCGTTCAGCTAGAGATCCTCAAATGTATGAATTTCGTGTTTGCTATGGATATTATTTTCAAATTCAGAAAGTTCGTGATTTAATTACTATCTATAATCATCTAACATTTGATTTTATTATAGGATGTTTCTGTTTTAGTGACATCATGGTATGGAATTGCTGCATTGTAATTCTTTTTTTACCATAGAGACAAGAGGACTAAAACAGTTTGAGTGATTCAACTAAGATGTCGCTTGTTTATCTATTGAGAGAAATTGAAATAAAAGCAGTATGTTCCCTAGCATCCGAAATCATGTTGAAGTAGAGTAGCCATGTGTATAATTATTTTCTCATTGGCCGCGTCGTCGTATGTCCTTATCGTCTAAGTACGTTTGTTAGAAATTATTTTCTTTGAGCAAAATTTTCTTAGACGTGTTCTGTTCTAGTAGTGCTCAACTATTATAAAGTCAAAAATGCAAGAACAAGAATAGCCATACTGCAAAACTAATAATTTTAACATGGAAATTATTCACGCTTGTTTTAAAGGATCAAACAATCAAAGTGTGTTATCAGAAGTTTATGTTTTTGACGTCACCGTTAGAACATGAATCTCGTTAAAAAATTTCTTTTTCTTTTTCCGCAACGCTTTGAAGGACTCATTATTCTGTGCTGCTCACCAGAAACTTCATTGAAGAACCTCAACAGCCATTTTTGGATTCGTCAACGATGAGTACTTTTTATGGTCAAGTTCTAACAGCCACCATTTACGTACAACCTATACTATTTACTTTGATTATAATCACAAATACTCTCAAGCTTCGTATTTTGTTTTCAAGGGCTCTCCGAGCTTCGTCTTGTACATATTATCTCATAAGCTATGCAATCTTTACAACTATATTTACTTGCATCTTGTGTCCAACTCAGGTACTCCGCGCATTACTTATCGGTTGGGAGAATACATTCGTCGGATGCAACATACATTCTTTTATTTCTTTTGCACCATCGTTTATTGCTCGAGTTATGCTTATCTTGGCATCATTTGATCGCTACTGTTCCAGTTCAAAGTCACAAGGACTCAATGTAATCAGCAATAAACGAATAGCACAGCTAAGAATCGTTATAAGCATCGTGACTGCTACAATTTACATGTCGCCAATGACGTTCATCTTTTATTTCGACACAACAACTAGTACATGTCGGCAATATTCCAGTTTACCAGTGAAAATCTATGTGCTTAGTCAGGTGGTAATATATTATATGCTCGGTCCGTTACTACTAGTTGTACTTGGAGTCCTTACTATCATTAACATTCGTTGGCATGGTAGTGTTCGAGTAGCACCGCGAAATCCTCGGTTATCCGGTCGGCGAACTGAAGGACAACTAGTTCGTATGTTGCTTCTACAAGTCTGTTGTCATCTGATCCTAACCACTCCATTCGGTGTTGTCTATTCTTTGAACGCATTCAATCCGTCAACTCGTACACCAAACATCGTCGGTATACGTTACATCTGTATAATGTGGACACAGGTTGATTGTTTTCTCTCGTTTTTCCTGTATATTTTATCGGGGAGTGTGTATCGAGAGGAACTCCGCCGATTGTTCAAAATTACTCAACGGCAGAACGGTCGTGAAAATCATCACTTAACACTAACAAAAAGAAATGAATCTGGAGCATAAAGCTATGGCTAATGATGAGTACTGTATGTTTGCTGGATGTTGTTTTATAGTGAAACAAGTATCAAATACATTAAATCTTTTCTTGCTTACACTTGTTAATATCGATACATTGAATTTGAACTCAAAATAATGAATACGCTTGTCTTCACCAATGTGTTTGTCGAGGAGTATGAAAGTCTTGTTGTAATATGTACGACGCATGCTTAGATGAATAATCAAGTGATTGCAGTTGAGATTTGTTTGTCGCTCTGATTCAATCAACTTCATACGAGAGGATATTTCTCATAAAATAGGTGAAGTTAGTATTCATCATTAATGTATCCTCGAAGTACATTCACCTCTCCTCATCAATTATGACCGACTGCATTATTACATCGAAGGGAAGTCAACATGCATTCCACCCGAGAATGACTCTAACGTCAAACAAATATTTCTCAACGTTAGTTATTTTTCAAATGAACACCAAACCGATGCACGTAAACTACACATATATTCTTCTCTTCATCTTTTCTTCTCAAATAGAATGTACTCGTATTGGTATAATTTATAATGTCAGCTTGGTTGGTCAAACAGTTTCGCAAATGAATGTAACATCGTGTGATGAATGTCTCTGCCGACTAGCAAAAAATATCACATTCATTTCATTTAATTGTCATTTGTTGAGCAGATCATGTGAAATGTTTGGCGCTTACAATGACACAATTAGTTATCAACTGATTAGCAATATCAATAGTTCGTTTTCTTTTATTCAACTACCACCAAGCAGTTCAATAACTACAGCAGTTACTACACCCATAAAAACAACGACGACGACAACAACAGGTAGTTTGTATCGATATGATGCAATTTCGTGAGTTTATTGAAAGTTTTACTTATCTTTTAAGGTCCCTGTTCATATACAGTTGCTGGCCAGTGTAATTCAACTTCCGGAAGCGATCGTTTTTCATTGAAACAACCAATCGATATTTATCTTACTCGTAATGATAGCATCCTCTATGTAGCAGATTTCGGAAATACTCGTATTCAACAATTTCAGCTGTCATCCAAAAATGGAACAACGGTTCCAGTATCTATTCCCAATGTTGGCGGTCTTTATTACGACGATTATGCGTCCATATTATATATAGCTCAGACTTCTTACGATATAGTTTTCAGATGGCCATTAAATAAAACCTTACCGTTGGCTGGAGCAGCAAAGGCATGCAATGCAACTGGTGGGTGGTTTGGTGGGCCATATGGTATTGTTGGCGATGCACAGGGCAATATCTATGTGGCCCATTCAACTTGTAATACAGTCGTTAAATGGGCGGCAAATGCGACAACGCCTATTCTCATTGGTGGATTAGGTGTAACTGGCAATACTTCACGGCATCTCAATTTCCCTCGACATATGTACTTGGACGAGAAGAATTCTTACATTTACGTAGCAGATTCAAACAATCATCGAATTCAACGTTTTTCAACGAATGGAAATGGAAACCGTACTGGTGTGACTGTAGCGGGAGGAAATGGTGCGGGTTCAGGAGCAAATCAGTTGAATACACCGGCAGGCGTCTTTGTATCACAGAAAGATGGTTCTGTCTATGTCAGTGATCGAACTAACCATCGAATTCAAAAATGGTTAACTAATGCAACGTCTGGTGTGACAGTCGTAGGCAATATGAATGGCACTTCGGGCAACACGACTTTCACTCTTAACCAACCTTATACAGTGGTTCTTGATCAAAATGAAACCTATATGTATATTGCTGATTTTTCAAATAATCGTATCCAACGTTACCCAGTTGTCTGAAAATATCGATGTACTTTCATAGATTCTTCTTATTCTCTCTGTTTTATATGACAAAAATAAGACGAAACGTTACATGTTTGAAATGATTTTCTATATATTTGTAGAGAAATCTCTAGCACAACCGGTAATTCTTATAATCTGAGGCGTTCTCAATTGCGTAATGACATCTATTTTTACGCAGTGTAGTTTCTCATATATTACAATCAATGACGTCTTTCTCCTTGTTGTCTGTCTGTTTGATTAGCGCTTCTACACACCTTCATTCACTGTATCCTTGCAGGATACGACAGAATCCGTCGGATTTATTCGAGCGTTATAAATGATAACTAATAAATGAACGTAGTATGGACGATGATATAATCGAAGTGATACGTCTGAGATTTCTTTGCCCTTGCCATTAAAACAACTTTCTCGTTTGAACAACTATCGTTTCTGTTCAAATCCTCAAATCAAATATTTAGGTCCAACCCATACTATTTACTTTGATCATAGTAATAAGTATACTCTCAAACTTCGCATTTTATTTTCATGTGCTCGTTCGAGCTTCACCATACACATATCATCTCATAAGCTACGCAATATTCGCTATCATTTGATTTGATGCGTTATAGCGTTTTCCGGGAAACTGATTTTTACAAGATTTCCAAAGAAAATAATTCGATTGTGCACTGACAAATACTTACCGAACAAAAAGCTGTCATCACCTTCCGCAGCACCCTCAATGAGATGATACCCCCATCACCCTCCGCAACACCCTCAATGAGATGATACCCTCATCACCCTCAATGAGATGATACCCTCATCACCCTCCGCAGCACCCTCAATGAGATGATATTATCTTATACCGCCTATACCGCCCCATAGTGAAATTCAATTTCCAGGAATTTCCTGGGCATCCGAAATGCATTGGATTTCCCGGCTAACGCTATAATGCATCATATGTATCATTTATACTTGTATATTGTGTCCAACACAGGTACTAAGTGCACTATACTCATTGGTTGGGAAGATACACGCGTCGGGTACAACATACATTTCTTTGTTTCTTTTACACCATTGTTCATTGCTCGAGTTATGCGTACCTTAGCATCATTTGATCGCTACTGTTCCAATTCTAAACCACAACGACTCAATGCAACCAGCACTGAACAAACAACACAATTGAAGATCATCATATGCACCATAGCCATTACTTTATCGGGAAGTGTAATTACTTCAGATAAGAATATTGATTTCATTGATCGTAACGGAAATTTTGAAAATCAAACAAGATGACTCTATGATAGTACACTGTCGACAGAATTCCTTTGAATCCAACGATGTTATCTAGACATTTAAACAAATTAACACATTCGAGGCGATTCAGTTTTCGTACAGAAATCGATCAAGATATTCATTTCACGTAGAATAAACTTTAGTAAACGTATTTACTTACTCTTTCTTTCTATGATATGAATTTTTTAACTGATATTTGATACAAAAATAAAACAATACAACAGGTGACATAATCAAACTAAAGTTCTGTAAATACCGTATGATCTTTACTCGTTGGCATACCATCTGAGAATGTGAAATGTTTCAAATGCTGCAAATGCACTCATAGGACAAAGTTTTCCGTCTTCTCTCAAAGAGCATTTCATTTTAATTGATAAAGATTAGGCTGAGTGTACCGACAGACATGTCTATCAAGATATTATAATGTATATTCTGCCATTTTAAGATATTAGTTATATACGATAGTGTCCTTGCATGATATTCTTGTCATGCTAATGTTCTGATTATCCGTGTTACCTTGTACTGTCACTTTGTATTCTCTTCTCTTCTCTATAAAAGACGATGTTCTGTATTGTATGAGACACAACTGGAATATGGAATGATGTAGAGAACATCTTTAGCTACATCAGAATAACGATAACGTTATTCATCCAGTTTGTCATTGTGATCACAATTAAGAAAAGAAATAAAATAAAAGGCTGCAGCAGCGCAAAACCAAATATTATTTACATTCTTATTATTTTTCCGTTACACTGAGTTTCATCGGTATGCATTCAAATCTATTTCTATAGTATCAAACATTCATATTAGAAAGAAACGAGTTTTATCAAGTTCTTTGAAAAGATAATGAGATCAAATGCTTTATCTGTATACGATCAGATTGTTCAAATTCTTTTGAATGTGCTTGTCAAGCATAGTTTCGAATACCTACGAATACACGAAATATTGCGATTGATAGTTTGTTTGAACAAACAAATGTTTTAATAGAATTGATTTTACATTCAACACAAAGAAAAACATCAAATTTTAAAGACAAGAGTCAATATTCTTAGGGCATACCAGAAGTAATGACGCCGACTGTACTATTTTATACAGAAGCTTTCTGAATTTTTTTTGCTATATATTGTGATAGCCCACATTGAGGTATATAATTCTATGATATTTCATAAGTTTTCGAACGATACTATAGATTTGAGAATTCACCAAAAAAACAGTCTTGTACCTAATTTTTGATCGATTTTCCTCTCAATAGTCCGGTTTGTCATGACAAAATCCGATATTGGTAATCAGCACAAAAAACTGAATGGATATATGTATCCTGCAAAATGCTCCATCGACTTGCGTTTTGTCAGAAAATTTGAACCCATCTAACCTGGAAGACCACACCTAATTTTTCGATGAAAATGTAAGTCGATGGAACATTTTGTAGGATACATATATCCTTTCAGTTTTTTGTGCTGATTACCAATATCGGATTTTGTCATGACAAACCGGATTATTGAGAGGAAAATCGATCAAAAATTAGGTACAAGACTGTTTTTTTGGTGAATTCTCAAATCTATAGTATCGTTCGAAAACTTATGAAATATCATAGAATTATATACCTCAATGTGGGCTATCACAATATATAGCAAAAAAAAATTCAGAAGGCTTCTGTATAAAATAGTACAGTCGGCGTCATTAATTCTGGTATGCCCTAAGTAGTTATAATTTTATGTTATATTTTGTATTTGAAATGACTGTTTTTCGTCATAAGATTGAAAGAAACTAATATATCTTGAAAAAGAAGAAATAGATGATATCCTCTATGTTAATCTTAACTAAATTTCATTGAAAATTCAAGCTAAATGGAAATCAGTCTGTCAAAATTTTCGATGGATCCGGACCCGGACACGGATCCGCCGAAAAAAGAAAATTAGACCCAGACCCGGACCCGGCTAGGTCCGAGTCTATCTGCAGCCCCCTATTCATAAGGATTTTTAGTTGAATAAAGACCTATTTTTATTCTTATAAACGATATAATTTTTCAAAAAAAAAGCACTAAAGGGTTAAACACTTGTATATTGTGTTTTTATGTCATTTTGCTTTCTACGAAATGAACTTATGTCATCTTCCCTGCATCCCATCGTGTTCAATCCAAGCCGATCCAACTCAAACCAATGCATGATTAAATATTATTGTGATATCATTTCCGTATGAAAATGAATTTCCGACTCAACTCAACCCAACCCCCGTTCAAACTCTAAAATCGCACTCTCTTATTATATATGTTTATATTGAACATAAGCGACAGATTGGACTTATTATTAATATGGAGTGATGTAAATTTCCTAGATATTTATTTCAGTTTTATTTTATTTGAGTGTCCATGAAATTGGAACTTACCATGGCATGATCAAAGTCCCCATTAATTTCTGAATAAATATATTATCATCAACGTACAAAAAGAAACAAGTAAGCTAGCAATGAAAAACACAATATATAAGTTACTTGTTTTTTTTTAGCAGCAGTATGTTCAGTCTTTTTCTCAGTTGTCACCACGTGCTGCTTTAATGATTGCAACTTGAGTGTTCAGTTTGACAAAGTCTTCCGAGTTTCCACCTTTATCCGGATGACATTGAAGTGCAAGTCGCCTGTAAGCTTTGTTAATTTCGTCATTGGAACAGTGGTGCGAGACTCCTAAGTACCTATAAGCCTTTTCCAATGCTACGGTTGGCGCCAGATCAAAAATATGCTCCGTCAGCCAAGATGAAAGGCCCCCGGCAACCGCTCCTCCTAAAACTCCGCCTAAAAATCCTCCAATTGCTGTTCCAACTCCTGGAAATATAAGTGTTCCAATAGCAGCTCCCCCGACGCCTCCTGCCACACCGCCTGCAATAGCTACAACATCGTCCATTATACTTTTGACACACCTTGCCCCAGAGATTTCGCCGTTCCACCACCCTTTGATGTTCGAGAATGCGCTGTAAGTTAAAGTTACAATGATTTGTACGTTGCCTAACATTTTCCCATATTTGGAGTAGGCTGCGAGTGCTTTTTGACAGTATACTACTACCGTAGTAATTGCTTGTTGCTTTGCTCTTTCCCAAACAGCGCGATACAGCCACGGCGCGTTCGCACTCTCAATTTCTATAAGTTCTACTACGTCGAACGCTATATAGCAGTAGCTCCCATAATCTGGAAATTTTAATTGAAATTCCGGATCGTGAGGAGAATGCAGGTGATTCTTGAAAATATATTCAACCATTTCATTTTGCCTAGGATCCGTGGAAGCCGATTGCGCCTCCTGCAGAAATGTCTGAATCTGTGCTTCAAAGGCCTCTGGCCGATGAATTCGAGTATATAAACTATTTATGTAATCTTTGTAATTTTTTCGAGTGACGATAAAGTGAAGTAGAGTTGCCATGTCGTTCTGATTTTTCATAACCGAGAGAATTTTTTGAAAAACCTATGAAGACGAAACTGAAAAGTTGAAAAATTGCAGTTACTTTTAAGCTCTCACCTGCCGTATTCGTTGATCGGTGCTCATATCTTGGTATAGCTACAGCAAATCCTATGCAGAAAAAAATAAAGAAAAGGCCTTTATTATACATTATAGTCTTGAGAATAGTCTACGGAAAATATTGAAGGATTTTCAGAAAAGTCCGCGTAGGGTATCTTTGAGCAAGATTCGACATTTTCTTGCGCCGATCACTTCGGTATATGTTCCAACCGAAGTAACACTGGTTGCAAGTACACCTGGGTGGGCTCTATAGATTCCAGTCATAAAAATGTTCGGCCACACCCTCACTCTCATTCTCAAGATGGTTCGTCTAGAAGCATCACTGATGAGCGTTTCTATAGGAAACCTGTGGCTTAGGATGAATCAAGCAAATTAGGTCAAGGTGAGGGTATCCGTGTGGGTTCAGGTGTGGGTGAAAATTTTTATGACTGGAATCGATAGAGCTCACCAAGTTGTACTTGGAACCAGTGTTAGTTCAGTTGGAACATACACTGAAGTGAGTCGGCTCAAGAAGATGTCGAATTCTGCTTAAAGATATTCTACGTGAGAGACCGTATGTAAATTTCTCAAGTGCACTTGAATTGATGGAACTTGCGATTTCCTGTTAAAAAAAAAACAGGAAAGTAGAATAGCTGTAGCAGAACCCGGCTCTTTATCTGATGTTAGGCAAGATCCAGCCATACAACCATAAACGCACACTTTTCCCTTATTCTTTGTATAAAGCTGTTAATCGCAAAAGGAGTTTCAATAAATGCAGAAACTTCGGATTTTATCCGAAGGTTAGGTGTACTATAAAAAATGTGTTGAGGCATGCATTTATTCCGATTCCATTTCTAGAATCGAGATTGAATGGAATTGATTGCAATTGAAATCAGAATTAACCCAGAATATACTGAGACTCGCTAGAATTGATCCAACATAGACTCAAATATATTACAACTTTTAACTCAGCCAACACTAGTTTAGATCAGTCCTCGTTGGTGGCAGACAGATCTTTGGTACCAACAAGCAATTCAAATTAGTTTTCTATTAGATCTCACGATGGTCTTCAAAGTTGTTAACTATGTCACGTCAATTTCAAACCAATTTCAGCAAGTTGCGTGTAGCTAAATGTTAGAGCGCACGCCGATTGATTCTAATAATGCGTCCACTTTTTCAATTTTCTATAATCTCATCCGTTGAATAAGTCCTGCATGCTGAAGAATACACATATTCTATGATAGGAGTTTAGAGAGTCATTGCGACTGGGATCGTGTCGAAAGTTGATACGTGAAAACGTGTCTATCAAATACTATGGTATGCTGACTAGTAACGCAACATGGGCGTTGCTAACCCTCTACTGAAAGGAACGCTCTCGCCCCATTAGTATCAATCATTTTTTCTAATAGATAATTTTATAGGCTATACTCTGATAAAAGAAATAGTTCTTAAATAAATACCGAATTATATGAAATTTTCTTAAAAGGTTTCGACTCACACTCACTGTATTTTTTCCAGAGAAGATCAACAACTGAACATCTAGTCGTTCGTCGGCCTCCCTCCGGTCGGCCACTCACGACTAGTTGACTCTGTATGAACTATTTACCACTCTATCATCTTTTAAAGGACCAGTCTGATCGCTACAAAAGATGAAATCATTCATAGCATTGTTTATTTCACGTATAACACCTCCGATATATTATGTCGTATTATCTACCATATCTCATATCGAAAACAAAATGGTTTTCGCACCCAACCATTTTTCCAATGAACTTGAAGCTCTTCGGAATCTCTATTAAAAAGTAACGTTCATCCTTGGGATTCGCTCACCCTTTTCTGAAACAATTACCAAAGGGTTCGGTAAATCTGTTTAGATAGATTTCAAAATCGACTTTATGCAGAAACTTGTTCTTGAATCCAGCATGACTTTTCTATCTACTTCAAATTATTTTTAATTCATTTATTTAAAGACGTAAGCAAGTAGAAGAACTATTTCTAAAAATTCATCGATCCACTCGTACTCCAGTATTCAAAAAACCTATTTACTCACTTTTATTTAACTTCTTCTAAGATCTTGAAACAAACGTCTAGTCATTCGTCGGCCTCCCTCCGGTCGGCCACTCACGGCTAGCCGTTCACATGCATAATCTTTTTCTTATTATCTCTTAAGTCACACGATGATATTATGTAAAAAAAGCTCCTCACAAGAGATGGATTTATAACCGGAGATGCAGGATATTTACATGAGTGTGTGGTTTTTTCGGATAGGTTTCGTTCCCCTCTTCAGTTCCCGAAACCTAAAAAGCTGTCGCAACCGTTCTTGCAAATTGTCAATTGAGTTTCGTCAAAGACATGTTGAAACCACGTGAAAGTTATTTAAAACCATGCTACAAAATATCACTTCCCTAATCGACGCTTAGTCGCTCGTCGGCCTCCCTCCGGTCGGCCACTCGCGGCTAGTCGTTAACATGTGTGCTTTCACTTTCTCATCTGTTTCGAATTCACTATCGAGACGAAAAACCTCATTTTCTCAGCTGCAGTCTTCAAAAGTCACTCACTTTGTGTTACTATGACTCTCGGAAATAAACTAAAAAGATGACATAATATTTTATGCGCTACAACAGTTAGACAAAATTTGTCTAGTATATCTGTTCACTTGTTTGGAATGTTATTTACATGTTAGTGTCTATGAAAATCTAATAGTAGAATCATAACGAAGCACTTCGTGTTGATCGACATATTTCTGTTGCAAATTCTATCAAAAGTTCTGACGTGTAACAATTGACGGCATAAAAATGCTGAAAGAAAGATGATATCAAGCTCGTATTTCCTTTCGATGATTTGAACGACAGTTTTTACGGAGTGCTACTAAACCGTATTCCTAGAAATCATGAATCGATTTATCAGCTCCTGCAACCACTAGTACCATTTAGTTCTTGCGCTTTCGTTGAAGTTTGAAAAAGGAATATATACACATCCTTCTCCCTCAAGAGGAAGGCAAAGGATTCAATTCCAAACAACTGAAATCAGGCTTGAAAAAAGTAATTACCCGTAATTTTGAATTAAACTCTAATAAAAATTGCTGCAAATTAGATTCACCTAAGCGGAAGGATGAGAAAAACTAAAAAGCATGTAACACAAGAATTGAACATCAGATTCGTGATCCTCGACCCCCAAAACCCTTCGGTCAACCCTTATAAAAAAATCTTTGAATTTGTAAGTTGTAATCGAACGAACGGACGAACGAACATTAACTACTTTGCGTACATACCCTCCTTTCAGTAGAGGGAATAATGCGAATAAGAAACTTCAACGAGTTATATTTCAGCGCGCGAGAGAACAGCGAAACGAATCACACCTCACTGAATACTACTACCTGCGGATACATCTCAGCTACCTAAGTAAATCATGCACTGGTACGTTCTTTTGCTACCAGACAGCACTCTAATTGGAAGCGTCTATCAGTTTTGTATACGGGCAAAATCAGGCGAAACAGGACATTTTTTGCGTTTTCTCGAACTTGATGCAGAACTGTGAGAGTGGTATAGAATACTTCCATGTAGTCTCTAGTTTATGAAATCAGTATTTAATTTTCGTTTATATCATTCCAAAGGGTGGTAAAATCTTATACACTACAGACACCTGTACACTATGAAAAACGATGCATTTATAGCATTAACAAGTAGAAATCTTTCTCGCGCGAAGAGGATGTTATAAACAATTATTTTTTGATAAATTGACAGTTCTTTTAAAGTAGTATTTTATCAATTATAAACAAATAAAAAACAATTTATCTTCCAAGAAATAATTTTATTTTAAAAATACCTATTTTGGCTGTCACGTCGCTAACAAAATTCTAAAAAGTTTCTCTCTTTCTTGCAACGAACGTCCATCAACTTTGAAACTTTTTATACAAACATAGTTTCACGCAACCAACGAATATATAGTATTTATTTTCTTTTTTGTTCTGTTCAATGCGAATATACAAGCGATATACTTGAGTCACGTCGCTAACGTCATTTTCTCAACTTTAGAATTTTTAAACAGACCGTTTCTTTTAGAGGTTCTATCCTATCTAAAAAAAAGTAGGTACATGTTGAATTCTTATGTATACCAATATTTCCACTAAAAAAGATTGAAAAACATCGGCAAACATGATAAAAATAAAAAATTCGTGTTATTTCCTTATAAGAACATCTTCAAGTGTTCGTATTTCAGTATTTTTATTGAGAAATACTTAAGAATTTATGAGGAAAATCGATCAGAAGTATCTGTAAACATTGCAATATACAAAAAAAGATAAAAAATAATGTACTAGTCAATGTTAGATACTTAAATCCGTCACGGAATAAGTATCCTTTATTCCAGTCAGCAAATTATAACTTCAATGCAATATATTACTGTGACATTTTATGTTGCTATTTTCTAGTAAAATTAAATTTAATATGAGCCTCGACTAAAATCACTATTGTCTAGATAAGAAAAGACAGAGATGATTATTTCTTCTTTATAGACGTTCAGATTATATTGTAATTCTGCTGAGCTTCCATTTCTATTAATACGTATATAACTATTGGGGCTCTGATGAAATTTAAGAAGCAGAATTCAAATTTTTTTGTAATGAATCTTTTGAGAATATACATGTTAGTCACAAGAAGGTTAACATTCTGTGGTAAATCACCAAAGTTTTGCACTAATAATGCTTTATATTTGTACCGTGTCACATCGCTAACAATTTTGTCACGTCGCTAACGCCGAATGCGACTGATTTATTGTGAAATTAACCCATAGCTAATAGAGATATTATGTGATTATTTTATAGCTTGAAGGGTTATGTATACAATGTATACGGTAGCTTCGGAAAACTGACTGAAACTTCGCAGAATTCTACGGCTGAAATGCTTAAAATGCAAGTTAATGTCTTTTTTAGCGTCACGTCGCTAACGATGGTTCCTTAACTGCTGCGTCTTCGGACAAGGTTTTCTAATGCTGGCTTTACTATAGTTTAGAGAGCAACCTAGTATGTATTTGATGCACAAAGAACAGGTCCAAGCGAGCTCGTTATACAGATATATATATATATATATATATATATATATATATATATATATATTGAAAGTGTACGGTGTCACGTCGCTATTAAAATGATTTTGCCCATATATAAGAAAGAAAGGTATTTTAAATTAAAATTAGGAGTATAATCATTAAAAGCCGAATTTTGTATCGATTGAGGAAGAAAACTCATACGTAGCTAACTTATACTACGTCTATATCTGTCTCTTTCACTCAACTAAATCCCGTTCCAATGCTTTCCTAAATAAGGAAAAACTCTTGGAGGCATCACTATATAACTCTATTTAATCCTTTCCCTAGTTTAAACTCAACTACGATGAAAGAAAGAATCAACTATAACCGTTTTCTTGAGTTTCATCTGATTTTTGACCAAATAATCTATTAAAATCAATTGATAATCGTATAACTGGATTTTATACAATTGAGATTTTAATCGATTAGTGGAATTATAACTGATTATTAGGATTTCATCTGATTCACGACCAAACAATCAATTGTAATCGATTGATAATTATCTAACTGGATATTACTCAATTAGAATTTTAATTGATTAGCGAAATGATAATCGATTTCAAGGATTTCATCTGATTTAATATTAAATAATCGATTATAATCATCAGTAAATCGTTACTTCAAAGTTATTTCGAAAAAAATTGATTATAATCGGATTCTTTGGGTAGAAACTAATATTTCTCGAAATAATCCGATTAGGTTACGCATAATGAGAGATAATCATGATTCTTATACAAATATTTTCCACTGAGTATAATAAAGACCAACGAGACTTGCAACAGCTCTGGATCGAAGAACAATGTCGGCTGATTACGTAGACCCGAGTACTGTCATGTATATTCCTTTCTTATTTAAAAGAAAACTGCAAAAAACTTTCTTACCTACTATAAAAAAACGTGTTCTTATCTTTTTTTGTCGTCGTCGTCGTCAGTTGAGTAAGTGAAGGTAGAAGAAACGAAGTCTCATGTCAATATATAAGATGTTTGTGGCCATAATATAAGGAGAAAATACCCTCTGACTCATGTTATCACGTCAGTGAGGGACAAAACCAGGAGAAAAAACTCTACTTCAGAAATGAAGTACTTCACTGGCACTTCACCCATACTTCGTCAATAGTTCTTCGCGAAAGTATGAGTAAAGTACCAGTGAAGTACTTCATTTCTGAAGTAGAGTTTTTTCTCCTGGTTTTGTCCCTCACTGACGTGATAACATGAGTCAGAGGGTATTTTCTCCTTATATTATGGCCACAAACATCTTATATATTGACATGAGACTTCGTTTCTTCTACCTTCACTTNTTCAAAAAAAATGTTTTTTTGACCTTTGACCTTTGACCCTGACACAAACAAACAGACAAACAGACAAACAAACTTTTTTTTCATATGACCCTCCTTTCAGTCGAGGGAATTTTACTCCGAAGGATAAATTATTGTGAAATCCATTGCAGAACGATGTCTTTGATCATCAAGATAGAAATAAATAAGTTTTGTCAATGATATTGTTTCTCGTTGTTGAATAGTTAATAAATGTTGATTAGATAAATTAGTAAATGAAATACTTTGACGAGTTCTATATTGTGGTGTAGCAAAACTAATATAATGAACATCATTCATTGTTACATTGTATCGATAACAACGAATAACAGCACAAATGATACTCATAATATCATAAGCAAATTTATTGAAAAGAAACGTTGTTGGTATATTATCATATTCACGAAGAATTGCAGTTCGATCCATTGAAAAAAGATCAATATAGAAATTAATTTGTTGAGTAATTGGTGGATTTAATGTGTGTTGAACATGACGCAACCATAAACGATGACCAAATTTCGTTCGAATAAGATATGACCAACCAAGTAGACTTTCGAATAATTTATATAAAAATTAACAAGTAGAAGATATATAAGACATGATACATTGCCAAACGATCGGTTCAAGTGGATTGAAATCTTTTGTATTCAATACTGAACTTTTCGATGTTAATTCTAAACTTCGATTATTATTAATATAATGACTATAATACCAACTTCTAGTTGTCTTTTTCCAACGACCACTACTGTTATTCATGCGACTCATTCTTTCACGTTAAGCAAATAATATATTCGTTGCATATGTATTTCCTAGTATTCTCATCCGCGATAGGAGAATAGATCGGTCAATATTTTCTTCATTTTTCTGGTCAAAAAAAGAAAATATATGCATCGACTATGTATGTAGACGATGGATTGTAATTGTATCAACTTATTAGAATAATAATCGTACAACTGATAAGAAATACGAATTATTGAGAAAACTTGAACGATTCTTATTTCACTTTCTTTTCTTTCTAAAATATCTATGAGTGCGACGAGCGTGTATAGACGCACTGATTCTATAATAAAGATATGATTACATTTTTGTAAAGAACGTATATGAAATAGCATCATAAGAGAAAAATAGGTAAAAATACAATTTGTTATTATTATCATTTTAAAATTTTCGTTTTATATATATATATTTTTAGCAAATTGTGTATCCATCATTTCTTTGAGATATATACGTTAGCTGATTAGTGCTGAGTTAATTTTAGAGAAATTTCCATAAATTCTGACTGGTTCAAAACAAATTTTTGTAATTAAAATCAATTCATACTAATCTAATGAAGATGAAGGGAAGGTTAAAAATAAATCAGAAATCAAAAAACAAAATTTTATTTCATAGGTTATTTGGAAGAATATCAAAATGACATTGTTATTTAATGACATATAAGAATTTGAAACGGAGAGATTCTTTAGTTTTTATAGTTTTCCAAAACATGAAACTGTTCATTCATTGTTACTGAGCTACTTCTATTATAGAACAAGGTCTTAAAATAATCAAACATGATCTCATTTATCTTATGTTCTCAATAAGTTTACTTTACTTTGTGATGATTCAATGTGTATATTATTTACGAATTAATAAAGTCTTCTATACGCTTTATATTCTTGATAAATAAAAGAGAATTTTAGAAAAAAAACTTGATTAAATTTTAAGAAGAAAATATCAATTGATAAAGATAATTACAACATTAAAACGAATAAAATTAAAGGAAAAATGTTTTGGGTGTTTCCATGGGGTTTCTACCACGTTATACAAAAGTATTTCCTTTCAACGTGAAAATTTCAGGGTTTGTAGAGCTCAATGAGGCAATCATTTTGACCGATTTAG